CACACACACACACACACACACACACATTTTGAACGGCTTGACCTACTGCACAATATTCAAAGTGGCCGTGGGGGTCATCATAGTAGGGGTCATCATAGTAGGTTGCAATGATTATGTCTAAGGAACGAGACACTAACTTTACTGCTTTCTCTGATCATCGTGATTTGGAGAGACGAAGGGCCATGAGGAAGAGGGATGTATATTTTAACCAAAAATATAGTATATTATTTTCAAAATCTCAATGAGTGCTTTCACTTTACAGGTCCTGAGCCGCACAGTAGACCAGAACAAGAGGGAATGTCCTCATCAAATGCTGTCTCAGAAACGCCAGATTCTGGAACATGTGGCGGCGATAATGGAGCAGACAAAAGAAGAGATTGTTCAACAAAAAGAAGACATTCTTATCAACGTCACAGCGGTCGCTGAACAGGCGGCCAAAAGAGAGTTTGCTGAACAGAGAGAAGACCTTCTAAACAGGGTTACTGCCACGACTGAACAGACGAAAAGTGAGCTTGTTCAACAAGAAGAACGCATTCTGAACAACCTCACTGCGATCGTCGAGGCACTTGAGGCGAATTTTGAACGCAAGCTGGGCGATTTGAAGATCAAGTTACAGGTGAGAATCTCTCATAGTGTTTGACCTCCAGTGTTGACAAGCAAACATTTTACCAAGGGTTTACTGGTCTATATATAGCACGGAAATACATTTAATCTAACAGTGTGTACAGCTACTGTCACTTTTTACTGTGCTGAATAATGGATATTGAGCTCATCATGCTTTCCTCCTTTGTCCCCTTCTTTTTCCCTCCATCCCTCCATCTCTCTCACACACTCTTTCTCTTTCTCTGTCTCCCTCTCTCTCTCCTCCCTCCCCCCTCCCTCTCTCTCTCACTCTCTCTCTCTCTCTCTATAAACTGGCAGTTTTCCTCGGTTTTGACGCTTTGGAAGTCACCTAACTTTGGCAGCGATTTTCTCGGTAATTTTCCTTTGAAATCAGGCGACCCCTTTTGCTTCAAACGTAAATATATCGACTTTTATTCAAGATTGACCGGGTTTTTTTTGGGTTGTTTTTTTTTTTTGTTTTTTTTTGGGGGGGGGGGGGGTGAAAGTAACGCAAATGGATAAACTTTCAGACTATACCAATAACAGTAAATGCCCAAAAATTGACGAGCGCCTGATTCTACTGCG